TTGAGAGAGTCTTTTCAAATCCAGAAATGTTTATGCTTGTGTTTTCCACCATCATATATATGACTATAATTTCTTTTCTTAGATGCAGATAACCATAATCAGTAAAAAATTACTGCTTGCTTGTGTTTTTCACCATCATATATATAGCTATAATTTTTTTTCTTAAACGCGAACAGCCATATATAAAATCAGTTCAAAAATCAGTCTAACTTTCACAATTTCTCGGCTTCTTGGCATAGAAAACAAGTTCAATGCCAGCATTGATATTGTTGTTGACTGCCAAGTCAAAAGTATAGAAAGAACATCATATGCTTGCTTGTGCTTTCACCATCATATATATAACTATAATTTCTTTTCTTAAATGCGGACGGTCAATATGTAAAATCAGTTCAAAAACCGGTCCAACATCCACAATTTCTCGGCTTCTTGGCATAGAAAATAAGTTCAATGCAAGTCTTGATATTATTGTTCACTGCCAAGTCAAAAGTATAGAAAGAAACATCATATATGAACATGACCATACCAATAGTCGCGTGGCCAAAAAATTCCTTTGAGTGTATTGTTTAATCAGTTATCATCAATGTTATTTAAATTATATATATATATATATATAAATATATTTAGTAAATATAATTGAGACGGGAGAAGCAAAATCCTTCTCTGCTCCACTTCATCAGCACAACAGAAAAAACTCATACAGGCAAGGATGTAAGGGCAAAGCTGTGCGAGGGAAATGACCATTCCTAATTTGGCCAAATAAAGCATTTTCTTTGTATGGGCAATCTTATTCTCCCTAGGAACAATCTAGAATTTACTATATTATCTTATTCTCCCTAGGAACAATCTAGAATTTACAATTAATATAGTGTTCTCTTGAAACCTTTCACAACCTTTCTAGAACTATTTAGAATCCACTTTAGAATGTTCTATACAAGTTCTAAAATTATGTTCAATATTCTTACATTTTCTCAAACTTTTTGGGAGATTCCGAAACCTTCCATTAGCCTCTAATGTTCTAACCCCCTCATCTGGTGAAGATTTTGTGTAGACAGTAGAGTGGCCAAAAAGTTTCTTCAGTGATATCATTTAATCAGTTATGAGCAATATCATTACATCATATTTTTAATTTTAGAATGCATATCAAAATAAATTTTTACATATCTACTATAAATATACTAAAATATCAAATATAATAATATTACAAAGTAATTCAAACTAGTCAAATTACACAACAATACTTAGGTACACTAATATACTATTTCTTTAATAAAATTAAAGACAACGAGGTTGCAATTTTCAATCAATCAATCAAACAGAGAGAGTAGACAAAATGATTGTTTTTAAGAAACCAAAAAAAAAAGTCTTTGTAAGTAATTTAAAATTTGTGCTTTGAAAGAAATCTATTTTTCTTTTAATATATTGCTTGTTTTTTTGGTTGTTAACATTAAATATAAAAAATAAAAATGGGGATTAAAGTGGGTTGGGGAAAATCCATACCCATTAAAAAATGGGGAGGGTGGTACCCATGGAGAATGGGGAATGGGGAATGGGGAAAATTTATTATAGGGGAATGGGGATGGGGAATTAATATCCACCCCATTGCCCCCCATTGCCATTCCTAAGTAGAGTTTATTATCAACCTAAAGCAAAGAAGACATTATTGGAGTGTGTCCCACATCGCCTATTTGTCCTAATTATAAAGTTCTAGTTTTCCTCGTCTTAATATCTAGATTTTAAGGAGTGAGAGCTGGGTTTTTTAATTTGATATCTAAGGGGGATTGGTCTGGATTTGGGCCATCATCATGCAGTGGCAAAGGTTCGGATTAAGACCGAGTCATAAACCCATCATGGCAGGTGCTAGGGGGGATTGTTGGCCTGGGTTTGGGCCATCATCATGCCATGGCGAAGGTCCGGGTTAAGGCCGAGTCATAATCAACTTGTGACCTTTGGTGCTATACCCTTAAGGGAAATAATGTTGTGCCTTTACCACTACCTATGAGTTTTGGTAAGATTGGCATACTACTTGAGGGCAGTGCTGGGGGAATTGTTGGCCTGGATTTGGGCCAACATCATGTCGTGGTTAAGGTCCGGGTTACGGCCGAGTCATAGTTAACTTGTGGCCATTGGTGTTGTACCCTTAAAAGGAATAATGTTGCGTCTTTACCACTACTTGTGGATTTTGGTAAGATAATAAGTGCTTGATACTATTGATATCAGATCTTGGTTGAGCCTGTGACTGGTGTACCGTTTGTCCGGCTACTGTATATTGTGGTCCATGAGGATGTATTGGAATGTGTCCCACGTCACCTAGAGTTACCCCATCCGTACTAATTAGAAGACTTTAGTTTCCCTCTCCTTAATACTTAGGTAGCTCGGACTTTTTAATTGACATCTGGTACCTTGTGAAAATGAAATCAATATCATTGTCAATGTGGTTCCGAAAAAAGAAATGAAAAAATAGCTCAATATTGAAAGTCTTTTCAAATCCAGAAATGTTGAAGAAGAGAAAAAAAAAAAAAAATAGGTCAAATGTTGAGTCTTTTTAAATCCAAAAATGTTTCTACTTGTGTTTTCCACCATCATATAACTGTAATTTCTTTTCTTAAATGCAGATAGCCATAATCAATCTTTTCAAATTCAGAAATGTTAAAGAAAGGGAAAAAATAGCTCAATGTTGAGAGTGTCTTTTCAAATCCAGAAATGTTTATGCTTGTGTTTTCCACCATCATATACATAACTATAATTTATTTTCTTAGATGCAGATAGCCATAATCAGTAAAAAATTACTGCTTGCTTGTGTTTTTCACCATCATATATATAGCTATAAAAAAAAAAAAAATTTCTTAAACGCTTACAGCCATTTATAAAATCAGTTCAAAAATTAGTCTAACTTTCACAATTTCTCGGCTTCTTGGCATAGAAAATAAGTTCAATGCCAGCATTGATATTAGAAAGAAACATCATATGCTTGCTTGTGCTTTCACCATCATATATATAACTATAATTTCTTTTCTTAAATGCGGACGGTCAATATGTAAAATCAGTTCAAAAGCCGGTCCAACATCCACAATTTCTCGGCTTCTTGGCATAGAAAATAAGTTCAATGCAAGTATTGATATTATTGTTCACTGCCAAGTCAAAAGTATAGAAAGAAACATCATATATGAACATGACCGTACCAATAGTCGCGTGGCCAAAAAATTCCTTTGAGTGTATTGTTTAATCAGTTATCATCAATGTTATTTAAATTATATAAATATATAAATATATTTAGTAAATATAATTGGGACGGGAGAAGCAAAATCCTTCTCTGCTCCGCTTCATCAGCACAATAGAAAAAACTCATACAGGTAAGGATGTAAGGGCAAAGCTGTGCGAGGGAAATGACCATTCCTAATTTGGCCAAATAAAGCATTTTCTTTGTATGGACAATCTTATTCTCCCTAGGAACAATCTAGAATTTACAATTAAGTATAGTGCTCTCTTGAAACCTTTCACAACCTTTCTAGAACTATTTAGAATCTACTTTAGAATGTTCTATACAAGTTCTAAAATTATGTTCAATATTCTTACATTTTCTTAAAGTTTTTGGGAGATTCCGAAACCTTCCATTAGCCTCTAATGTTCTAACCCCCTCATCTGGTGAAGACTTTGTGTAGACAGTAGAGTGGCCAAAAAGTTTCTTCAGTGGTATCATTTAATCAGTTATGAGCAATATCATTACATCATATTTTTAATTTTAGAATGCATATCAAAATAAATTTTTACAACTATAAATATACTAAAATATCAAATATAATAATATTACAAAGCAATTCAAACTAGTCAAATTACACAACAATACTTAGGAACACGAATATACTATTTCTTCAATAAAATTAAAAACAGCAAGATTGCGATTTTCAATCAATCAAATAGAGAGAATAGACAAAATGATTCTTGTTGATAAAAACAAAATAGGTTAAGCTTTTCTCATGGTGGTCATTTCAATTTGAGAAAGCATTTCAATTTGGTAAGCCCATTTTGGGACCAACTTCGGTGATCCAAACTGTTCACTTTTTAATACTCGTTTAGTAAAATATTTATGTAGAAAATCAAGATGATCGAATATCGATAGTTATATGTTTGAATCAAATTTATATTATAAAAAATAAATGGTTATTCTTAAAATTATATTTATCATATATTTTTTTTAACAAATATGATTCGAAGATATAATTACCGATATTAAATTATTTTTATTTTTTATATACAATATATTATTTCTTTAATAAAATTAAAGACAACAAGGTTGTAATTTTCAATCAATCAAATAGAGAAAAAAAGATAAAATGATTCTCCTTGAGAAAAAGACATAAATAAAAAATCTTTGTAAGGAATCAAGAATGCCACGCTTTAAAATAAATCCATTTTCTTTTTTCTAACTTTTTTTTTATATATAAACTATATTTATATATAAAATTTGTATTAAAAAAAATCACAAAAATGATGTTATAAATAAAAAAACATCTACAAGAATATTTTATTTTAAAATAAAAGGTCCATATTAAATTACTTCATATTATACAAAAATTATATATGAATTTTTTTTATATCATTATTCAAAAAAAATAATACCATGATATTTATTATGTCAATAAGGCTACACTCATCATATTTTTACATGATATCTAATATATAACATACATAACAATTATTGTAATAATATCCATATAAGCCTCATTTATATTTATATTCATATTCAATCATTAATAGTTATACGTACTAAACAAAAAAATGATATAAAAATATAACAAACATAAAATTAATTATTTTTTGTTAAACCAAAAAAAAAAAAATTGTTGATATATCTATTTTCTTGAACAAAAAAAATGATATAAAAATATAACAAACATAAAATTAATTATTTTTTGTTAAACCAAAAAAAAAAAAAAATTTGTTGATATATCTATTTTCTTAAACAATTTTAATGTTGTCAATTTATGAAATCCTCTCAAAAATTTTATATAATAGTACATTACTCTTTTAAAAAAAAAAAACATTCAAAGTCCAGTAGGTTAATTGAACCCACTACATCATGCACAGCTCCATCCATGCATACCAAGGTCACATTTATTGGAGACTGAATACACAAAAACAAGATTGATTCTGCAAGCTTTGCCACTAACAATTGCCGTTCACAGAATACGAAAGTACATCCTCGGCTTTCAATAACATTGAGCTCTATATTAAGCATGCAAAGGAAGTAAAACAAGCAAGTCACTAGTACACAGCGGATTGATTCCAAACAAGGATCTGTCCTTAAACTGGAGTCAAACCAACCACACCTGAAAACACAGTTTCACAATAAGAACTCATAAGCAAGTTAAGCATGTAAAGCAACTCCCAAAAACCAAACCAATCATTGCAGATAAGGAGGCACAGATATTGCTGAGAGATGACATTTGGATGAGCAAGCATGCAAAAGTAATGATCAAGCGTAATATTTGGATGAGCTTAGAATCCCTTCAAATTTTATAGAATGCACAACTTCGCATCAAGACATCATAAGGAACTAATGCAGCAAAAGACTAGATCAACATAAACCCACCATGGTAACCACAGTAAAATAGAAACTTCACAGGCATATATTTTCATAGGAGGTTCAGCAAAATGGATGTCTTCTCATCATGTCAACAATATTGATATCATCCAAATGAAGTACAAGTTCTTCATGTCACCTTTTTTTCATTAACATGCCATCTCTTTGAATCTTCTATGGCTCTGTCCTATTTATAGTTTCACTAGAAATATTGGTGTACAAGTCTCTATTTCGTTATTTCTTCAATGTTTTTATAAATTGTATCTGATACTAGAGGGAGACTAGGAAGTTAGATTTTCCGCTAAACGAACATCATAAAAGTCAGTTGTCACTTAAATAGGAAAATATATTTAAGAGCCATGGACTTGACTTAGCACTAAATTTTAATATGTTAAGTGGAAGGTAGATTTAGATTTTAAATCACTCTCCACGAAAAAGTAGGGGACAAGCTACCTAGCTATTACCTCTCTCGTACCCTGCTGTAAGTGGCGGCCTCGTGCACTAGGTATGATCATTTTTATTGAATAAAATTTATATGAAGCTCAATTTCAAAAAATTGTACTCAAAAGCATTGAGCACTAACGTTTCGGTACTTCATTTGGGTTTTATTATCCAAACTCTCAGGCATATATAGTTATTAACATTTGGATGTCTACAATGATAGTTCAAACACCAATCACATGTCATTCCATTAGACAAAAGAAAAATCAACATACTGCAATATTTAAAATTAATTATTTAATAGATAGAAAAGCATGAAGGACTTGTGTCTAATTTTTGCGCTTCATTTAATGGTGGAAAGAAACAAGAATATCCAATATTCCACAAATAATCCTCGTATAGTGCTCCTTCACAATAGCCATAAAGGAGTCAAGAGCCAAGCCTTCCACCTCTTTCCTACCCTACCACCCCACCAAGAATGCCAAAAGTCTGTTACCAAACATCACAAGACTCAAATCCAATGCCTTGCAATGTAAATGCAGGTACAGATGATTCACCTAATTAGACTTGCACATGCAACAGCAATTAACCGTGATATGACAACTCTTACTGAGAGTATCAATGGAAAAATCTTCTCATGAGCAGCATTCCACACAAAAAACACAACCTTAAGCCAACTGACCAAACCCCTTTCCAGGAGGACGCTCCATTGTCACCTAGCAAAGCTCCGTGAAAAGATTTCACCTCAAGCACACCATGACAAGATGAAGGAGGAACCCAACAAAGCATATTTGTTTCCTTAAAAAACTGGATGTTCATAAAGGAGCTGAAATAAAGCCAAAAGCTCATCTGCCTTCTAGTCTTGCACATGCCCCTCAGAAAAATCCCAAAAGGAATGGACACCATCATCCCTCCAGACATACTCCACCACAGTAGCCCCCTCATTCCTATCCAGATAAAAAATAGTTGGGAATAATCTTTCCAAGGTCTAATACTCGCTGCAGTTGTTCTCAATTTAAAAGGTGAGCAAAGTATGAAGAGGAGGAGGCCACTAAGGCTTCATTTAGTAATCAGGTTCTTGTGTTGGGTATAGACCAGAGGAAGTCAAACTGGGTTAAAAAGGAAAATGGACCATGGATAAGAGGTGTGGGGCAGAGAGAAAGCTCAACACCTGACCATTTTTTTTGGATCTATTAGTCTCAATAGCCTTTCTCTCATAAATGAAAGCCCAACGTCAAGGTGGTCAACGATTGGACACTGAGAAACTGTTTTGATCCAACAGGGGTATTCTTTTGTGGTGAACGAGGGGAATATTGGGCCATCATTCTAGCTTGTGGCTCAATCTCAAAGCCATGCCAATGTAAGTGCAATTAGCTCGCGCCAGGTTACTCAAAGACTTGCTTAAGCCTATAAATCCTCTCCATTGTGCTACTTTTCTTCTTCAAATGTGCTTTAAACATATAGGAGAACCACCCAAACCCTCTGTCCCAAAAGCAGCCTATACACTACTGTATTTTACCCCCAAATAACCTGCTTTTGACATGCATGTACTGTGATCTCCCAAGCCAAATCCACTACACCACCCTTCCTCTTAGCACAACACAACCTATGCCATAACTACTTGAACCCATCCCCCCTCTATGTTACCTGGAACATGGATCGTTCTAGTATGTGAAACGGGAACAGGAACGGGAACGGGAACGTGGTACGCCACATGCTCTAAAATGTGGCACTGTAAGGGTAGGCTTGTATATATTATACTTCAGAATTTAAGGTATTTCTAAAGTAAATTTTTTTTAACTATTAGAAATCTAATAAAATAAAATATTTTTTATGAGCATTATGATTCATTTTTTGATATTTTTGTCTTGTCAAAACTTAACTCACCTTAGATTTTAGTTCATTATATTTGATTTTTCTCCTCCTAAGGTAACATTTAAGAACATATATTGAAAAAAAACTTTTGGGATCATTTTAGATCACTAAATTTACTGTTTTAGAACGGAAGTGTATCATATTTCGGAACGTGCGTACCAATACATAATTCATTAGAGTATTAACGTTTTTTGGTAACATAGGTCCCCCTACTATTAGGGAAACAATCCTGACTACCCTACTACCAGTTTCTTCCCCGCATGATGCCTTTATTCCTCAAGTGAAGCCCTTCCCTGCATCTTGTAGCTCACGGTGGTTCATCAGTAGGGGTCATTAAGGGTAAAACCGTAGTACACTTTCCATACCAGCTAGCAACTTTGATAGAGGAGATCAATGTAATTTCAAAAACCACAAGCGAAGTCCCTTGTAATTGTAAAAAATCTCAAGGGAGGTCCATGTAATTATCCCTTTGTTTCTTTTTCACCTTGACACATGACAAAATAAGCCTTCAACCCCACCCCTTTTTGAAATGTCATACCACCACTTTTCCCCCATGTTACAATGACTTTGGTTCAATTCATAACTTTACTTATAGCTAGGATAATTACTCAAGCATAAAATCAAACATAACGAGAATATATCTCAAAGCAGCCCAAGACAAGAAACAAGTCAAAGAAATGTGAAGTTAGTGTATTTGCATACCACATGCCAATCGTCCCCCTGCATTGCCAGTGGAAAGGCTAAGTTCGTGACCACCTACAAATGGATAACGAAAAGAGATGAATGTACAAAATACCAATAATAACAGATGAAGGAAATGTTTTTACACTTTTATTTTTTTGCTGACAAAAATTAGTACAATGATAAAGATAGCAAAAAATTGGAAGTAAAGTTCAAAACAATGAACATGAATTTTTACCCTTTCCAAGGTCATCCTCAAGCTCATGAACCACGAGGGCCCTGCCGATGACAGCATTAGGTCCAGTAAGTGGTATCTGCACATCTCAGCCCAACAGAAATAAGTAACAATAGCAACCGAAAATGCCAAACCCTAAAAAAATTCTATTGAGTCTGTACACGCAAAAAAGCAATACCTGGTTATCCACTATTGTTGCCTCTGCCACCCCTGAATTATGCCAAGGAACACAAAAAATGGGTATCACAGATGATACAAACAAATTTTTTTAAGAAATAACTGAAAATGTAATTACCATCAGCATTAGCAACTATGTTTCCCAGGTCACCCGCATGACGGATTTTATCTTCAGGAGCACCGTGTGTCATACCATTAGGATTAAAGTGTGCTCCTATCACAACATAACAATTGAGAACAAAAACCAAAATTATACATTAAACAACAAAAACTAAAATAAAATTTATCATTAAACAAAAAAACATTAATGACCAACATTTCAAGTGGTTTCAAGCCTCAAATATGATCAAATCCAACCTGTTGACATACACCCATTTGTTGTATCTCCAAATTCGTGCTACAAAAACAATAAAAGTCAAAATTTCAGAAATTCACCTATCATTTAAAGCTGAAACTAGATCCAATTAATAAAATAAACAATTTTTTAACAATACTCACTAGATGGAATCCATGAAGTCCCGGAGTGAGTCCTGTAACACGAACATTCACAGTAGTTGGACCTATCCAAAAACAAAACCCATTTCACAATTCGGACTTTCAATTCAATTACACAACTACCCATTTCACAATTCGCTTCGCACTTTCAATTCAATTACACAACTACCCATTTCACAATTCGCATTTCAATTCAATTACACAAATACCCATTTCACAATTCACACTTTCAATTCAATTAAACAAATACCCATTTCACAATTCGCACTTTCAATTCAATTACATAAATGTATTATTCATAGGAATTAGAGAGGCGAAGGGTTAGAAAGAGAAGGGACCATTGTCATCTTGAGTGAGGGTTACAACGCCTTCGACATTGGAGGTGCCTTTGAGGACGGCGACGGCTTTCTTGGTGGCGGCGACGACGACGGCGGAGAGAGGCTTGGGAGTGGCGGAGATAGAGAGGGATTGGTGGGTGAGTTTGAGGAGAGGCCGTGGAAGGAAGGAGCCGAGAGGTTTTTAGGGTTTGAGAGGAGTAGTGGGTAGAGGAGAGCTTGAGATGGGAGTGTTGTATGAGAGGCCATAGTTGTTGTTGCTAATGGGGTTGCCTGATGTACCTAATACAAAAAGGCTAATGGGGCTTGCATTGCATTGGCTGAGGATGAGATAATGTTAATCTGTGAGCTACTCTAGAGTCACTCACTGGTATATTCCACACTCTGTTCTCTCTCTCCACTTTCTGGATGGTTCTTTGTTTTTTTTTGTTTTTGTTTTTTTGTTTTTTTTTTGAAGAGTGGATGGTTCTTTGTTTGAACTCACAAATACAAATAGAGCTAGGGCATGTTTGGTTGTGATTTTTTTTTATTAAAAAAAATATGAAAAGAAAGCTTTTCATAATTTTTTGTATGAGTTGAAATTTTTATAATTTTTTTATTTGTTTTTGTTTTTGATTAAAATAGTTAATGCCAAACACCTCTAACTATACACAAATATAAAAGAAAAATATTATGAGCCATGAAATTTTGTCTCAAATTTTATTCAAAAATTAGATATTGATAGAATAATTGTAATTCATAATGTTTTTTGGTACTTTTTTTTGAGCCCTTAGGATTGTTTAATAATATAAAAAAATCATTCAGAGTTTTCATACAATGTGGACATTGTCATGAAAATGAGTTTACTTAGAAAAATGACATTTTCAAATCATGTTTATAGATTTATTTTTTTAATATGAATTTTATATATGGATAGAATTTTTTAAATATAAATGTGCTAATTTTAATTTTATTCACTAAATTATTACTATTTTTTATATTTAAAAAAGATACACTTTAAAATTTAAACAATTTAAACTACATCATTAAATATTTATTATTATTTTTTATTTTGAACAAAGTCTCACAACTAATTTAATGAATATTTGACTGTATGATTTAAATTTTTTAAATTATAAAATTATTCTTTTGCATTATAAATTAGGCTTTCAAAATTACAATTTTGGACCATATCTTCAATTGAATCACATACATTGAAAATATATACATATATATATGTAACGATTAAATAAACAAGACTGATAATTTAATAATAAAATAGAAAATTTACATAATTTAATTAATAAAAGTATAATTAAACCAATAAAAATAAAAATGGTGAATTAAACTAACAGTCCTTATAGTTTGGAACTTATGTTACTTTGATCTCTGACCTTTTAATTATGATACATTTGACACTGAATTTTGAATCTCGTTCTAAATAAGAATAATTGAATATATTGTTGCTTCATTTGAAGGATAAAGTAGTCATATAATTTATTTTGTATTGGTTAACTTATTTGTTGTGTGAAATATAATAGCATTTTTTTCAATGAATAATATTAGAACTTTTTTAGTTATAAAGTTTTGTTTTATTTGGTTTGGTTTTCAGAAAAATTTTCAAATAAATGAAAAATTAAATTGGTGAAAAAAATTTTAAACACATCATTTTTATATAATTTTATTTTTTGGGAGAATAGAAATAATTTTTTTAAATAAATTTTTGTGATATTTATTTTCGCTCAATCAGTTTTTATTTTTTTTAAAAATCAAGCATGGCAACAACTTTGATGTCATTATCAAACCAATCTATTAAGGGCAAGTTTGGGAAGATCCAAAAAAGCCAAAAAGTCAAAAAGTTACTCAAAAAGCTAAAAAGTTAACACTATTCACCAAAAGTCAACAATTACGGCTGCACAACTCCCAATTCAAATTTTTCCCTACCAATCAATTTTTACAATTTTTTATTACACATTTTTCAATAAAAAATCAAAAAGTTAACCCAAACATCCATATTTTCAACCTCAATTTTTTAGTCCAAAAAGACAAAAAGTGCACTTTTTTAGTCTTCCCAAACTTGGCCTTAAAAAATCCAAAACTAAACATATTTCATATATTAAACATATCTATTATATATTTGTTGGCTACATATTTTGTACAAACCAATTACAATTCGACGCGTAGCAAAGTAAGAGTAGTACGGGAAGACTATTCAAATCTTCGATCTTGATCGTACACATGTCAGTTAATATTGGTTGTTGCGAGATCTGAATAGCAGTGGATCAGCAGAGAGATACAAAGATGGTGTTTGGGAAGTGGGTTTTTTTGTAGATTTTTTTATTGTAGGTTTTTTTAGTTGTAGGTTTTTATTGGATAAAAAATTTTTGGTGTTTGGGAAGATAGTTGGGTTTTTATGTGATTGGATGTGATGTTTGTGAGAGAAAAAGTGAAATGATTATTGGGTTGGATGTGATATTTTGTTTGGATGTGTTTTTTTTTTTTGGTTTTGTAAAAAGTTTGTCTTTTAGTGGAAAAAATGAGAAAAAAATTTGGAACCTAGGTTCCCAAACACCACTAAAGTGATGTGGCATCATCGGTTACTTATATTTGAATTTAAATTCAAGAGGGAAGCTTAACTGCAAGTGATGGCGTAATGGAGCTAATCTTGAGGCAACATGATCAGCGATCATGGAGGAGCAGTTCGACGGTTGGAAATACAGTTTGATGGTCATCCTTAAGCAGTATAAATAGCAGAGAAGACCCTAGAAAAAGTGCTAGACTCAGATCTAAAAAACCAGTCTTATTCTACTTTACTAAGTTTTACATATCCTGTTCTTTACATTCCAGTACTTTAAATTCTGCACTGCACTTCATTCATAGGAGTAGTTTCAAGTAGATTGTCGTTGTAAATCTCAACGAAACTGAGTTTGAATCATTGTAAGTTTTTCATTCTAATGAAATGCTTCAGTTGTTCTTTATTTGATTGGTATTCTGTTTAATTCTCCTAAATCAAGTCACTTGTAAAAGTCCTCTTCATTGAGGCTGAGAGAGCTAAAACACAATCGTCTGATAATTGGTTGGCAATTAAATTTTTGTAAGGACTGATTGATCCTTACTAGCACGCTTGCAATTACAATAATAACCTTCGAAAGCCAAAAAGCCAACAATATTAAAAGCCTAACAATCATCCATTATATGATAACCATTAAAAAATAAATGTTAACAACAAATACAACTATCTAGTATATGATAATCATCCAAAAATATCAATAAAAACAATTACTCATTACATTATCATCATCCAAACATATATTAAAAATTAATTTGGTAAAAAAATAATAAAAAATATATCATTTTTATATAATTTTATTTTTGGTGAATAAAAATAATTTTTAAAAATTTAAAAATAAATTTTTGATATTTATTTTTATCAAATTAGTTTATATTTTATCAAATTAACAATTTTATCCTTGAAATAGAGTAATAATATTTTTCATTATTCTTATTTTGAACGAGATTCAAAATTTAAAATTAAATATATCACAATTAAAATATTAAAAATTAAAATAATATAAATTTCAAATTATAAGTACCGTCATTATAATTCGTCCAAATAAAAATTCAGGATTATAGAGACAAGCTAGTTAGGTCCTGTCTTAAAAATAAATAAATAAATAAAAAAGATCGCGGACTTAGGATTCATTTGAAATTGTTTTTTTTTTAATTTAATGACATATATTTATAATTTTTTGGAATGCTAAAATTTAAATTAATAATAAAACTATTATTTTAATAAAATGAAAGAAAACAATTTAAGAAAAAAAATTCGGCTAACATGAAATAAAAAAAGTTAAAAATTAATGATTATACATTTTCATTAATGAAAAGGAAAAAAGAATTAGGCCTAGTTTAGGATCTCAAAAAAAAAAGTTAAAAAATTAAAAAAGTTACTCAAAAAGTTAAAGAAAATAATTTAAAAAATAATAAAAAAATTTTAAATAAATAATTTTGTAGTTAACTTGATGATGCGAACATTATTTCTTCCCTCAATATTTAAGTGCAAAATTTGATGGGAATATTTTTCCTCTTGTAATCCTGGCAGGCAGGGAAAATGTCTGGGATATGTTTTTGGTTATTTTATTTTGTTTTTGTTTTTAATTTTTAATTTTTTTCATTTTTTATATTGGATATGTCCGGTTTTTTTATTGGAAAATTTTGTCAAAACTTCCTCATAGTAAAATTTTAATGCATTAAGGATAAGTACAAAAAATCTCTTAGAAAGTTCACCACGTATCACTATTACCAAAATATCTTTTGTGAGTTATTTAATATTTTAAATTTTAAAATAATATGACTTTTGATCTAAATGTCGATTTTTAATAAAATTTATATTTTTAGAATTCTCTCATTAAGATCTATATTGACTTTGAAATTCTTAAAAAGAAAAAATTACCATCGAAATTGACATAAATAGTAATATGTTATTCTATTTGATAGTAACATGTTACTCTAATTAATAGTAACATGTTACAGTTTGTTCTGAACAGAACATCAGTAACAAAAACAGAGTGCGACTCTCCCTGAATATGAACTCACACTATTCCTACAAATAAAAACTCATACATACTCGTAAAATACTCAATCGCAACTTCAAATACCCTCTTTGTGCTAATCGAAAATGACACATTAGCGGCACATCGTAAAATATCAATTTACATTGTCAATTGATACAATAAAGTTTGCATTTCTTTCTCTCCAACCACTGTTAATGTTTGTGAGAATCAGTTGCCGTTTGGCAAGTGACATCCAAACCATAATCATTTTATTTTTTCTCTCACAAAAAAGCCAAAATATTTTTTCTAAATGGAGCTGATTTAGCCAGGCTCAATTAACGAAAAAGTCCAGCTAAAAAAGTTCTTCCCAAACGAACACTATTTCTTTGGTGTTGAAAAGCATCAAGTTGAATCGAAATTGAAAATCTTACGAGCCAAAAAGTAAGATATTGCAAAGATAAAAAAATGTCCAATACAAAAATAAAACTCTACAAACAACGAATTGGAGAGCAGATTGAAAATACTGCAAAGATCGATGGAGAGTTTGTACTAGCTAGGGTTCCTACGACTCGGAGAACAAATTAAGGATCGTCAAAGTTTACATATTGGAGATCATCA